CTTCCTGAGTGGGCCAAATTTTAACAACATTTTCCATGAGAGTGCCAAAATGCAAACATTTAACCTTAGAGGGCCAAAACAAACAAACAAACAAATAAATAAATAAATAAATAAATAAATAGATAAATAATCATTTTCCCTGAGAGGTCAAAATTAAACTCAGTCTGAGGGCCGTGGACCAAACGCAGTAATATAAGGATGTAAATACTTCTGAAGTAAAGTAGTTTTATTGTTATGGTTAAGCTAGCAGCTTAAAACAGTGTTTGCCCACAGTGTTTTGTTTGTTTTCAGCTCATGGACGTGGAGAAAACTCAACAAGAGCTCAGGCAGCAAAAAGTCACGAGACTTTTCATAATTTAAGTTTAGAGTATACGTGGTCTTATAACGTGTGTAAATCCAGGGTTGTCGAGTGTTTCTAAACCAAAATATAAGAACCTGAGCTGAATAATCTGTCGTCATCTCCAGAAGGAAACATCATGTTCTGCTGGATGACATCATCTTAGTTTGAGTTCAGTAAATAATAACATCTGTCCTGATGTTTCAAACCTTCAGAGCAGGACTGTTCAGCTGCATCGGTCCGGGGGCCACAGTTACTGCAGACCAACAGCTGAGGGGCCCAACATCCAGCAGTTAGTCTGTAAATAAACCAAGTTTTACAAACATCTGTTACCTTTGAAATACTTTATTTTGTTGCATTTAATCATGAATACAACACACAGAACCCTATAAAAGTAGTGATAATTAAATATCAAAAACTAAAAGAACATTCTGACTCTTATTTAACACAAATATTAGTTTGACATCTCTGACTTGCCAAAAAAATTATTTTCACTTTCATAGTTTTATCTTCAGCTGCTTGTAGTTTTAACTGTTTATAAAAATGTTTTCACCAGTTTGAAGTTAAGATTCTGATGTTTCTGTAGATACAAACATGTCTGTGTTTAACTAAAAGAACTTATCAGAGTTAACGTAGAAAACTGGGGGTCTGGCTTTTAAGACGTGAGTGAACCAATTCGCAGGCCGGACTTTGGTCACCCGCAGGCCGGATGTGGCCCATGGGCCGCCAGTTGAATACCCCTGCTTTAGAGCTAATGTTTTTGTCTGCAGCTGCAGTGATGCTCCTGATTGTTTGTGTGCAGATGTGATCAGAGAGAAGGGTCTGGACCACGTCACCGTGGAGGACCTGGTGACAGAGGTGACGCCTAAAGGCCGAGGTAAACAGGAAGTGAACATCAGAGCTCCACTTCCTGTGGTCCTGGAGTTCACCTCAGCAGAAACCCTGAAGAATAAAAGGATTAAATGATGTATTTAATGTTTTTTTTTGTCTCCTCTGCAGCTCTGGTACCAGACAGCGTGAAGAAAGAACTCCTGCAGAGAATCAGAGCTTTTCTTGTCCAACACGCAGCCATGTGAAGAAAAAGACTTTCATCAGTTTAAAGTTTTTATTTTATTTTTTAATACTGTGTCTTTATTTTGTTTCTGCTGCTGTTTTGGAAATAAAATAAAATTCAAAGTAAAGATGTGGTTGTTGGAGCTGCTTCCTGTCTGAGTGAAGTCTGTAAGAACAGGTGGACCTCCTGATGAACTTCTGTTAAACTGCAACACATTTTAAAAGCTGACCTCCTGCAGGAGGTCAACTTTATATCTTTAAATAATTTAAAGTTGTGTCTCGTGTCRGACATTTGCAGCTGAGACACGTTCTGCATATTTTCCTGTCAGGAACTCATTGTTCCACCAGAAGAAGAAGAAGAAGAAGCTCCTCTGTGACGCAGCTGAACCTGCTGGACAACATGTCTGCTTTTGTTCTTTTATCTCTGATTTCACACAGATTGAAAGACATCAGTGACAGGAACAGTTCAGGCTTTAGAAAACACTGACAGCAGGTGTTCAGGAGCTGAATTAGTTGTGTGGGAGGAGCCTAATGTTCTGTCTCCAGAACGTCCGGCACTGAAGGACTTTTAATGTCTGTTGTTTTAATGCTCTAATGTTCAGATTTTACACAAATAAAATATGAGGTCATCAACATGCTGAAGTTGCTGCCTTTTTTTAATTTATTCATTTCATTTGTAACAATTATGTACACAACAAAAAAACATGCAATCAAAATAAAATGAAAAGGCAGCAGAAGAATAAAGCTTCAAATATCTGTCCTTCTTTTTTTAAACACAAAATATGTTCAAAATACAACAAAATCAAAACAACTGAAAACCTAAAAACAAAACACCAATTTGCATGAATTCAATTATAATTCTCCATATTTCTTCAGAATACTATATTTTATAATTCTCTTTAAGGTTCTGTCATTTTAACCTCATCTTCCAGACTGCTCCATAATCTTAATCCCTGGATTAAAGTGGATCAATCCTTCAGACTCGTACAAAACCAGGGTTTCATAAACATTTAGATTCCTTTAAGATAAT